CTTGTCAGAAAGCACCATTTAAACACCACGGGTAAGTTTGGTTGAGACGCCTGCAGAAGGTACCTGTGATTGGTGGGTTACCATCGGTCTCCAATCACAGTCGTGTAGCGAACCTACAGTTACCCACGAAAGCACGCGTTATTCTTTGTTTTTTTTTTCACGAGAACCATGAGGAACCCAAAAAAGAAAAGGGAAATTTCACGTTTTCACAGACCACGCGTCATAACCCAGAACGCGTTTTGTGCTATACAAGTAGGGTGGGCACGCCGCATTTTTTGAACAGAAATGTATGTAAGTGGGACTGCTGCCCGCTACTATACTGTCACGAGAATCGGGGAATTCGTGAGCCAGGGGGAGTGTAGCCAATCTAGGGGGTGGGGGTGAGGGCAGTCACTTGACATGCGTGAAAAGCGTGCCCACCCCACTTGTATAGAGCCCGCGTTTTGAGTTTGAATGCAAAATGAGTACATGGCGCACTCTGTGTTGCCAAACAGAAACATAAGTTCTTGCCTGAAGTCAAGTTAAAGCCTCGGCATACAAGCAAATATGTAAACATAAATAAATACAACAGTTGGTCATTTAATCAAAAACTGGTACAAAACTGAAACCGAGAAGAACAACACTGCAAATACAGCACAACGCCGGACGATATCAAGTATATTACTGGAATGCACTGCCTTTATCTGCCATCAGTCACAGGTTTTTGTTATAAATAGAACTAGAAATATTGGCATTGCAGCACAAAAGATGCCACTGAAGAACTGGGGGAAAGCAGGCGCACCTGACAGACGATTCCAGGTAACTGCCTCAAACCTCACTGTTTAAGATCGATTCGAAGTGAGATTATGAAATTTGCTGTAAGACGCCCGCTCTATAGATAAGAACCTGAGGAGTTCAAGTTGTTCGATAAACGCCGATGAAAAAGACGAGTCAACAGATCGGACCATTCACGTGACCCCTTCACAAAGGCGAACAACCGTTTGCCAAAATTAATCAATGTGGCTAAATAAATATGAACGAGTATGGGCGTCCGGCTTGTTCTTATCGGGTGTGGTCTCATGTGCAGCTGTGGTCACGTAATCGAGACCTCGAGGGACCACACGGACGAGAAATCGATTTCTGGGGGGACAATCATGTGATGGTGATGTGGGGGGCAGAAATGAGTGTGAATGGCAGTGAGTCAGAGATAGAGAGTGAGCAGAGAGCAGAGAGCAATACGCAGACGCTGCACGCTTCCTTTCCATCCATACATAAACACAACATCAAGTTCAGAGAGCCGCTATGCCATGACCAGTTGTGCACACATGAGCTGAGGGTTCAGGCAGCTGCTGAAGCGCCAGGGCGTTCAGGCGGAGCCAAACGAATATTCGAATCGGGCTAACATTCAGCTCTTTTAGAGTTCTTCATGCATCCAAAAATCACCAAATCTATGTTCTGAATAATGGCGGGACGAAATAGAACAACATAACATTGAAGTATTTTTCCAAAAAAAATGGAAGCTGTGATTTACACTTGGGCGGAGGTGGTGTACCGCCAAGTGGCGTCACCCTTACATCACGCGCCGACACTGGGGTCAAGACCCGGCCCGCATTTCGTCCAATTCAACCAAGCCTTCCATCACTCCGGCCTCGGTAAATTGGTACCAGGCTCTGCCGGGAGGGGTTAGAGACACCGTCGTACACAACGCCTCGAATGTGTACCAAACTGTTGTCAAGTGCCTTTGTGACTTTGGAGAGAGGTATGGTGTGTGGCGCATCCCAAAACCGGTTTGGCCACTGCCGAGTGCATTATCCCTTATCCTTCTGACCAGAAGTTTCTAACCCGCCCATTTAGATTTTGAAACTTCAGATTGTGGTACTTGAACGAATGTCGGTCTGTATATTCGCAAAAGAAAGAGTGGATGACTTTCAAATAAATTTGGATTGAAAGTCTTTGAGGTCTTTTTTCAGGGTGAGGCTTTGGATCAGGACCCGACACCACAACTGTAACGATTATTAAAATATTAGATGACAGGGATCTGCCAAATTTTTTAATATTTTCAGATTATAGGAGCGACGATCGGAGCCCGCCTTGGCTCTGATGGTGAGAAGAACAGGGCTGGATTAGGCTCGAACAGAAACAACTAAAACTGGCCCTGAGAGGATTTTTCAGCCATGTAGATCTCATAGCTGGATGTACATACCATTGCCTGGTTTCGAATCCTTTAGTTCCTTCTACTCTTACCACCAGTGTATTAGTGCTCACATTTCCATGTACCGAACTA